TAGTGTCGATGGTTAAGCAAATAATAAATTCATCTCAATGATCAATCATAAAAATGAAAATCTTATTATAATAAAATGGCGTATAAATAGAAATAAACACTAAACAAAAAACATAAACACTAAAATGTAATATTATGATTAATACGAATGTAACATCTTCAATAACTGCTCATTAGTACACGCATATCTAATGAAACGCGTAAAGAGAGCAAATGCAGAATCAGTTAAAATATGCATCTCCTCGTTAACGTGGAACTGGACATCGTTTTTCATTTTTCATTAATTATTCTCTTTCATTTCATATTTCATTATGCCTACTCGCACCGTCAACATCGTTCTTGCTCTATATTACAATTTATCGTACAATGCTGAATTATACATAACAAAACGTTCAATGCCGTTCGATGGCTCTGCAACGCTCTTAGCTATCGTACCATCTAAGACGTACACTAATTTTTTTTTTCTTTCATTTTTTCTTTTCATTAATACTTTACTATAATTTTTTTGTTATTTATTTTTTATGCTTATGATACTCTTTCAATATCGCTTCTCTTGTTTCCCTTTTCTTACGTCGGACTAGCTTGTCTTACAATCCAGCTCACATATATACATATAATAAATGAGCGGTCGTAATTCAATACTTTATGGCCATATTATTCATTATATTTTTTTTCTTTTGTTATATTTTTTTTTTTATTTCGTATATTCTTGTTTCAAGCTACTGCCTTTGCTTTCTCTATCCTTTATCTCCTTGTTTTTCCACGTTTACGGCACAAGCATAAGGTACAATCGTCATGACGCTAGTTAATTAATTCTTACAAAGAATCAGTTAGTTGCATTTATATTATGCTAACTGTCAATAATTAATAGTTATACATATAACCGATTATGAAAATTTTATTTTGCCCTATTCGTTTACTTTTATTTTTTATATGCAGATAACGAATCCTTTCTATGTCGCAATATAATCTCTTTTCATTCAGATAATTGCTCGGTCTTTCGTCTAAAATATTATCTATCTACAAAGCTGTTTAGGAAGTTTATTTATTAGTAAAGAAAATAATAACTAATCTTTTCAAAATGTTATGTAATGAATGATTTCAGATTATAAAATTGTGTATAACAAAGTACGATAATATTATTTGTTTTCAAAAATAAATGTAGCGTATGTTGAGAAGCAAATGTAAAATACTTTTACATAATAAAGAATAAATAAAATTGCATAGTCTCATAGTATTGTTGTATCTACAACAATTTTCCTCAATATCTTTTAACAATTTATTTTATCGAGAGCAATTGTGTTAATAATGTGTTTTTTTGTTTATCTGACTATTATTGAAATAATTGCTTTTTTTGTTGTTGTTGTTGTAATTTAGTATTACTCGAGACTAAGTTAATGCAGATGTATGAACAATTAAGCGACAATATTTCTTTTAAGAATTGTATGAAATATTTAAATAAGATAGTCGACATTATATTCAATATTCGATATTCGAATAATATACCTTGTATAATTAAAGTAAATTCTAATGACAAATAAAGTTAATATCCAGTTATAAGTCATTCTTTCATCGAGAAGAAACGGTGGCGAAATTCATGGGATTATAAACGATTTATCTTGCATCACTTTCTCGGTAATATTGGCTCTCGATTATTGATTTCATAATTTCATAATCTCATATTTCAATACATCTTTAATTTCTTTCATTCTCCATCGTTTTATAAAACTCAGACAGATCTTTAAATTAATTTTATATTATATCAATGTAAAATATTTGCTTTATTTAAACACAATTTATATTTATTAATTTATATATTTTTTTTAATAAATTTTTTTTTTTTTTTTTTTTTTTTTTTTTTGATAAAATCTTATCATTCATGAATATGATATACAGATCTCGTGTATGTGGGAAGGATATATTTGTTCTTCGACATTATAATGGAAATAATATTATCTACACATACACGCGGTCATAAAAATTCTTCTCAAATAGTTGAATGGAGTAATTTTTTTGCAATAAATTAAAAAAATGAGTGGCAATAAAACCCATATGAGCGAATTAGATAGAGAGAACTAGGATAACATAAAAAAGTTTAGCGAATGTGTATCGGCGTATTTTTGGAAAGCTCGAGTGTATGTGTTTTTTGTTTAGCCACATAAGAAGTATGTAATTACACTTTTTCTTTATTCTTTTCATTCATTTTCAATCCTTATAACCTTTGGCACGAAAGAAGCTGCATTTCTGTATATTATATTTATATATCACATCAATGATGATTTCGTAAAATCATATAAATGATTTTATTCTTTCGCTGAATCCTTTTAATATATAATCTCTATGTATTATTTAATATATTACAGTGGAAGTTTCGTTTCTTTTTTTGTTGCATAGAATAATAATTCGTGAATTTGAAATGTAGACACATCTTATAAAGTTGATTTTTTTTTTGTTCTTTATCATATTTGTGCTTTGTATTGGCATGATTTATATAATTTTCGATCGGGCGACTTATACGTACATTTATTTTGCGTAAAGGTTTCTCGATTGATGGCAACTTGATTAATGAATATATTACGAAGGATCAAAAAACTAATTTTGTCATATTTTGTTATAGATTATTTTTTTATTTACTATTTATTTATAGTTGCATATTTGAAAATTTTCATCAGCTTATATGTTTTAAAGCAATTTTATATGAGCATAAGAAGAGAAGGAATGCAAAATTTTGATATTTTCTAATTACATTGTCTTACGATTCATCCATTTTTTTTCTTTTAAACTTTATCCTATTTGAATACAATAATGATTGGAATAATCTTTTTTCTAATATTTGTATTTTTAAATTGATATTTAATAAAATGTGAAATTGATTCATGTGAGCTAATGCTGAAAACGGTTGTGCAAATTTGCCTCACACTAAATAAGACTTTATTCACATTACATGAATTATAAGATTAAAAATAGCACATAGATATTAAATAATATAGATTATGTGTTTATTTTTTCGTGTATTTGTTATATAATTAAATTGTACAATTCAAATTCAAATTGGTTCATTGAGAATTTTCGAAAATTCAAAATCACATTTACGTTTGACACAGAATAAATCGAATATTGATGTAAAAAATATCAAGTTAAATGCACATCTAAAAAAAAACATTTAATTTTTATTTTAATTAAAACGATCATATTACTTCCATTTATTATATGAATTTAATCAATTTTCATATATTTTCATCCTGCAGCAATTGATTTAACACTATATTGTATTAACTATGATCTTTCCACCTTTTAATTATTTCATATTATTTATATTTTTGAAAGTTACTTTCACCATGTAACTTTTCGAATGTCATGTCTATCATACTTTGATCTCGGTTGTTTTATTTTTTTCTTATTTCATCATTAAATATAAGAAGTGAAAAATCGGAGAATATGTTTGGGAAATATTATATCGTGTCATCGTCGTCGCAACACCAGCGACCCATATAAGAAAGTCATTTTTTTCTTTTTACATTTATCTTTCGCGTGGAAGAATATGGGAACGTCTTGTTACCGAATTTAACTTCATTTCAATCAATAATTTTAATGATTATTTACTAACCGTAATTACTATTAATGTAATATTTATCTATAGTTCATATGTACAAATTGTAAAATTTCTTATTAATGTAAAAGTTTTTTTATAACATCATTCAAATATGATGCAGTATGATGTAGATATAATTAATTAACTTATTTTATTTTGAATCTACGGTTTCTTTATTCGCCTAAATCTTCATACATTCTTTCTTTCTTTTCATCTTCGTTCCCGCGCTTTATCTATCTTTCTTATTTAGTATCTCGTACAGCGATTCATATTTTATTTTGTTACATTCTTTTGTTGAACGGAAATTGTACTTTAACTGTTTTGTACGCAATTTTTGTTTATTTCAAGATATAATTCAGTTAGACTTTCAACAAAATAATTGCTGCAGAGACTTTCAGCAATTTTAGAAACACGTCTCTCAAATTTTTTACAAAGAAATAATTACTTTACATTAAGAATATAATTGTGCATTTAATTACTTATCTACGTAGAATAAAATATATAAGTTGATATTTCTTAATTCATTTTTTAATATTTATAAGTTTTAAAAAAATTTTGTAATAATTAAGTAATAATTACGTAATAATTTTATAATGATTAAAATATTTGAATACCAGATTTAATCAAAGGATTTGATGTAGAATCGCTGAAAACACCTCTTAGAATTAAAAATATCGAAATTTTACATGCGTAAGTATATATAAATAAAAACTCATTCAGGCTAAGAAATTTTCATTCCCATTACCTCGATTACTTCATTGAAAATATTGAACTTTTACTGTTTAATAAGTGAATACAATATTCTTTATTTTTACATTTACATCATACGACTTTATAAAATTTTATTCTAGATATATATATATATATATTTTTTTTTTAAATAATAATGATGAAATTGTCAATGTTGATTAACGATTTTTAAAAAAATTTTTAATTTTAATTCTCCTTAGTTTTTTCATCTTATAAATAAATTTGTTAAAACGAGGTGATTTTTCAGTCTCTGGCATTTAATTACGTACACGTACGTACAAGTACAACATACATATTCGTCACATTTTTATTATTGTTTTTTTTCTTTTCTTTTTTTTTTAATTACTTATATCATTCATACATCATACTTTCTACGGTACATTATAAGATAAGTTTGAGCTTTGCTGCGGCTCTCTTCGATTATTCTCTCGAATATCGCTACTAAGTTATCTTTATTATAAGTTTTCATTTATATATTAAATATTAATAATTCATTTTATTCACATGAAAAAGGAAGAGCTTAAATTATGCTAAATCCTTTTTACTTGTGGAACATCTTTAGGGGAAAAGGCGATTTTCACATAATTAAATTATCTTAATTTTTTTATTATTTTTCACTTTCTCTTCTCATTCTCTCTCTCTCTCTCTCTCTGTCTCTATCATTCTTTCAATTTCTTTCTGTCTTCTTGTTTAATATATTAATTTTTAATGTTTAGTGTTTATATAAGCTCGCCCGATTCATGGCCGACATAATCGATTGATCGATGATATTTTTTCATTATTGAAAGGAGAAAATTTTTTAAATAAAAATCTAGTATCTCTCTACCATATATGTACGTATTAGTTACGAACTTGGGTGAGGCACCACAGGGGAGACTATAATAACTGTACAGAAAGTCGCTCCGATCGTCATACATTATTCTGTTCGCTTACATCGCCGCGATTGGCAATATTATTTAGGAGCCGACCAGAATTTTCTTTTATTTATTGCGCACACCCTAAGACTTTTCATCATCTAAATATAACTTTATCGTCGTTAGTCTTCATCTCAACTCGTTATATATCCCGCGCACTATATACTTTTGTCGCGTTGGCATTACTTCATTACCTATCTACTCTGTAAGTTAACTAATTATCTGCTGATTTGGAAATAATCAATTCACGTTTCATTTCTTTTGTCTTGAGGAAAAAGAAAGAGAGGTCTAAATTTCACCATTTTCGAATGACTTTATTTATTCATTACTAAATAATCTTTAGTAGTGTAATGGCGAAACGATAAATACAGTTCTCGATGATATTCGTATTGGTGTGTCAGAATTCCGAATTAAAAATTGATTTTATTCTGAAATATTGAGTATGCACGGAAGAAGTGCTAGATCGGCCTTCTCTATAATATTAATAAATAAATAAAGATCCTTAAACTCTTATTGGTCTAATGTTACAGTATTGGGCCCGGCACTGGTTCATAACATCAGGCTAACGATCACATTTGTCGGGTCCACGTGGAACGTAGATCCTGGTTTATTTATATGGTCAAATATGATTGGTCGGAAAGGTAGTAGCGGAGCCCAACCTTATACAGCGTTTGGCTACTGTAGACACTACTGCCAGTCTTACTCCACGCCATCACGGAAAACGAAAAATACCATAAATAGGAAAGAACTAGAAACGTCTCTCTTTCTCTCTCCCTCCACGCCTGCCTACTTCACTCCCAAGCCCCTTTATCGTTAAGACGCATCTCAGATATCCCACTCGAATCCTCGGAAAGCGCTCGAACGACGCAAGCATCAGCCGTGCTGGAGAACGTGGAGTCGCCGCTAGAGGGAGTCTCGTCGTCGCGCATCAATCGTTCGACCAAGCGTAGCCTTAAAATCGCTTTTGGCCGATCAAATGCTGGCCCTGTGCTGGTAGATTAACGGCAGATGCGTCAGCGGGGCCAATGAGGACGGCCTCATCGCATATCTGTGCTGCGACAGTTCATCGAGCTTCGGCTGCTCTCGCCGGTACTGCTGATGCTCTCGCTGGTACTGGTACTCCTCGTACTCGGGCGTGTCGTCGTCGTCGTCGTCGAGGGAGCTGCTCGGGGGCAGCGGTTGCATCAGCAGTAGGTGGGCGATCCTACTGGGAGAGCGGCGCACCGTGAAACGCGGTCTCCGTCGCTTTTTATAGAAGCCGCTGCAGCGGCAGCTGCAGACCGACGCGTCATCGTCCAGCGATATTGTGTCGCCCTGGGTGCCGAGCTGGCCCGAGAGGATCGAGCCGTTGGCCGTTATCACGTCACCCTCTAGTCGCACAGCCCCCTGTGCTGCCTGCAATGAGAAATATTCATCAATATTCAATCATTTCATCATTATTATTTATTCCGAATAATCGTTTGCCATTAGCGATTATTAATTGTTAATTATTGTTATTACGTTAAATAGTGAGGCGCTCGTCATTTTTTAAAAAAAAAAAAAAAAAAAAAAAAAAAAATAGAAACAATAAACTCTTCTCTTTTTATCGTTAATTCGGCTTTGCTATGTATGCGCGAAGATAATGGAAAAGCCGTTTTTCTACTGGTTTTTCTACTGGTTTTTCGACTGGTTTTTGCAATCTAATTGAAGTAAATAATTACTTGAAGGGCTTCTGCTTCATCTCGTCTCTCATCTTCCGTATTCATGGTGACGAATCTAAGTACCAGCAGGTTGAGGGAGGCGGCTACGATCGCCAGGCCGAATAGAATGAAGATCAGGGCGAACATGATATACTCTGGCTTACTGACGAGGGCATTGTCCTTCTGCAGGGCGACCATGTCGCCGAAGCCAATAGTCGTCAGGGTAATGAAGCAGTAGTAGACTGAGTCAAAGTAGGACCAGCCCTCGTAGCGAGAGAAAGCCGCGGCGCCCCCAGCGATCGTTAGAATCGATAAAGTCGTCACCACGCAGATTAGGTTGATTTCCGAAGCCTGCGGGAAGACGTTATTGTAATATATTGCCGGGTAATGCCTTCGATGATATTACATTTATATTGATTAAGTGACATTTACGCGCATATTACCAATTCTCTTGATTTAAAGAAACAATAATTGGTATTCCATATATTATTAGCTTTTAAAGAAACTGTGCTAAAACAATCATAAATCGGTCTAATAGAAAATTACTTTGCAAATACACTTATTCGCTATTTCTGTTCTGTGTAAATTAAATTATCTGTTATACATCTCTAATTTAGAGAAATAAAAAACAATTAAGGAAATAAATAAATAAATAATAAATCTATATGAATATCAATAACAATTGTCTGATAAAAATTTTCTAATAAATCGATAAGTAAATGAATATTTTTTATAATTTGACTGAAATCTTTCGCTTCTAAACAAAAGTTAAAATTTTTGCTACTCTTAATTATAAATATTACATGGAAAATTATCTGAAAAAAAAAAGAAATAAATTTATAAGTGATTATTAAATATCACATACGAAATTTAAAAAATTAGACTATAAAAATGTTTATACAAAATAATTTCATTCCATACCAAATTATAAAATTATTTAGTAGAGGGAGAGAGAGAGAGTGAGAACAAAAGATTAAAGTATTTCAATAATTTTACTTGTTGAAAATTTTCGCAACCACTTTAAATAGTTTATATTGTAAAATAGCTATATGCATGCACATGTAGTAATTGCTTTCAGTTATTGCAAAGGTTATAATAATATATTACATAAATAATTCTTAACAATGGTATTTTAATCAATAGATATATATTTAAGTTTTATTGATTTAATATAAAAGTTTCGTGATTTACTCAAAAGCTGAGAAATGCTTATAATGTCATTCATTTTTCACATTTTTTAATGTTAGGTTGTATGACAATGATAGAGAAGCATCCTCGGAGTAATATAGTTATAAACAGGGATTTGATACTTATTGAACTCATTATTTATAAAATTATATCAAAAATATAAAAAGAATGTTAAATATTGGAAAAACATAAAGTATTTTTTCTCGTAAACATATGACGGGTTGTACATTTTAATCCGATTGATTTTAATTTTACAAAGTTTCTATCAAAATCAGAAATTCATATTTGCCAAGTTCTATTGATTTGATTTCAAGCTACGCTATTGTGAAACATTACACGTAAAATTTGAAATTCAATTTTTGAAATATCAACAAGAATTTTCTGCTGAAAATTAGAGATATTTGTAACAAGGCCAGATAAAAAAGATAAGGGTTTCGTATCGCTTCCTTACTTACTTACTTAGATATTTATATTTCATTAGAGCTTGATTATTAATACTTATAGTCTAAAACTACAAGTATTCTATCTTTACATTCAAAATCAAAAACAAAAAACAAAAAAAAAAAACCAAAAATAAAAAAAACGAAATGGCATTTTGCACTTGAAGCTTTAAATTTAACTATACATGTGCAACATTCGCATTTTAATATTGCCATAATACTTTTACTAAATGCTTTTTACGAGAATACGTATATTTAATTTCCATTCAATAGAGAATCGCCACAGAAAGTATTTATTTCGCATAAAATGTCATAAAACGTTAAGCTATTTCACTCGAAACATAATCAGCTTTTGTGCAAATATTTTCCCAAATCCTTTTCTCATACAAAACATCGCTTTCCAAACTGATGGCGGGATTCAGCTTTCACCCGGCAACCAAAATAGACCTCTGAAAAGTAAAAAATAAAAAAATAAGAAAAGAGTAAATAATTGAAATGCAACTTAAAATCACCGATGACGGCACTTCTACAGTGTACGGTAAAACATATCCTTTCTTTCCTTTCTCTAATTCTCTCTCTCTCTCTCTCTCTCTCTCTCTCTCTCTCTGTTTGACAATTCGAATATTTAATGGCACAGTATTAATTCTCGAGATTTTTAAAACTGAAAAATCGTCGGGCCTCAAAATGCAAGCGATCCCGCCTCCGTATTAAAGCGAAGGGGAAAAAGTTTCCGGCATAAGATGACCCGCCGCTTTCTAGTATGGAAAAGTTCTCTTTTACCTGAATATCCTTGCAGTTGAGAAGCTGCTTAACGTTTCGTATAACGACCGAGGAGAACTTGTTCAGCCGCTCGCCGATGCTCTGGAACATTACAAGGCCCAGTGGGATGCCAATGATCGCGTAGAACATGGTGAAGAGTTTGCCGCTTATCGTGTTGGGCGTCGAGTGCCCGTAACCTGTGTACATACAAATTCAAAAGGACAACGTTTTTTAGTATTGGCAAAGGAGTTGGTTTGATAGACGCGGGCGTCCCGAGGATTTTGGGGGTGGGTGGGTCGGGGTGGGATGTTGATTTACCGACGCGGGAATTTACTCATTACTTACCAACATCCGATATTTTAACTTGGCTTTAACATAAACGCTCGACCAGTTGTTTATTTTATTGTTTTACTTTACGGTGCTGATCGATTTACCAAAGCAGATTTCTTTACGGGAGTGCGGGAGTAAACGCGAGCCGCTCTATCGAATAAACTACGTCGCCTTCGATTACAGCTGCGTCCAGCTTTAATGATTTTTTGCGTTTACATTGGTCGCGCACCTTTTATTATTGATGATGGGATTGCGGGGGCCGTAAGTCTATCCGCGTTATGCATTCGACAAATACATTTGAGAATTCTTAATTTTGCTCGATTAATTATCTATTGCGATTGTCAATGTGAAATGGTATGTACCAATGGTTGTGAGTACAGTGGTAGCGTAGTAAAATGCTCCGATGAATTTCCACTGCTGGCCGGCTTTATGAGGCTCCGTTTTCAGCGCCACAGTCTCCATGATTTTGAAGTCTTCCACGCTTATATTATATTTGCGTATAACCATTCTTTCAATGGCTGAAAAGAAGGAAATGAAAATATTTCATGTTTGTGAATATTTATATCTGTTGGACGTCCTCGTTAATGGTTATGTGATTTAGCTAATCGTTTATCAAAGGCCGAGCGCCTCGATTATCGATCGAATAAATCAGTTACAACGGAGTAAAATTTTTATAGAATTGAAAACTTAACTATTTACGTACTCAAATATAATGTGATCCGATTCTTTTTATTACCGTATGTCATTTATAATCGCTTAAAGCAAATAATTTAACAATCAGCAAATAGAAATAACTTCTGTTTTTTTTTTCATTTTATAGCGTATAACGTCGTAATATAAGGGAAATTCTTTATTTTTCCCTTCTTAACTTCGAGCACAAATATTTTCAATTATATACCATAAAATAAGTTAAATAATAAATTTTTTTTTTGTTTTTTTTTTTTTTTTGATTTGTTAAGATATAACGTTTGATATATAATTTTCTCAGCCAATTTTAAAATTAAATTTAGCCTTGACTTTTATTTCACTTCTATTTTTCTCATTTATACTTTAATAACTTTAATTTTGACTTTTTCTTCCGTTGATTTTTGTTTGAAAAACGAACGAAATTTTAGCACATTAATAGGCGAACTTTTAATTCGTCATTTAATTATTCTCGCATAAACAATTTGATGATTTGACATTTTTGTATTAAATTTATATACTCGTTTAAAAAAAAGAGTGTTAAATTTACGATAAGCAATTGTGAATGTAATTTTTCAAATATAAATAATGACTTCATCTTCTTATCCTTTTACTTAATTGTATTATTCTTAATATCTTTGATTTCATAATTTTCTAGTGATTACTTCTCGAATCTGATTATACCTCGAAGTGAATTAAAGACTATATCCACATATTATCGTCAATTTATATTTCGAATAATAACTAAACGTTCGTATCAAAGATTTTTGTTGAAAAATTATAATCTAGATAGTGAATTTTGAAGAGCGAGAAAGCAATTTTGGCCGAAAAAGTCCCTATTTTCTTTGATTAAGTGATTTTTGTTACGACTCGTGTAGATTCATTTGGCTTTAATTAGAAACTCTTGCATCACAATTGCTTCGATTAATTACGAGAAAATAGTGTTCCTAAACTGGAATAAATTAGAAAATATTATATCGAGCCCGGAGTAGGCTTAAGGTGCAGCACGAATTAAGCAAATGAAAAGACCATTTGATGATTATTGTCGAGAATGACTTTGCTTATTGCTAAGCGCCGAGTGGCTTTACCGTCCAGAGCTTCTTTGCGTCGGTTCTCCGTCTCGGACTCGAGAATGTCGAAGAATGCTGCGCCAATGAGGAGATAGGTAAACGTGCAGACGATCAACGATAAAGTCCGGACGTTTTGCTTCTTCATTCTCTAGTGAGCCACATGCTCACTAGCTGGGCCTCGGCCCCAACTACGTGCATCGTTTAGTGGTACAGAAGTGGACGGGGTGTTGGGCCCACGGCCGTCGCCCCGGCGCCCCTCAATGGAACAGGTCACCAACGAGCCATCAAACGATGCTGCTTCAATGGCCTCTTGATTCGGTCGACCTTCCGGCAGTTGAGTGCTTCATCTGCGTCTAAACATCCAAGCGCCCACTCCTTACTACATCGGCTTCATGAAATCCACTTAATTTGCTTTCACTTTATTAGATGTGCATGGATATTTCGTAGGGGGAGACTGCATGCTGGATACTACTTATGTAAGCTTCGCAACATTCTTTCTCGCAGTTTTTCTTCCCACAAGCTCTTGCTGTATTAAGGGATAAAGAAAATTGCTAAATTACTGCCTACTAAATGTATTAATGTATTAATGATGAAATTGCAATTTAAAGTCTTTGATATTTGACGAATTATTACCCTCGATTCTGATATAATGATTTTCAGTCGATTATTAAGATTATCAGATCTATACTACCGCAATATATACATTTACCGATTATCAATGACTGTTGATATCAAGAGATAGCATTTTCCAATTCATTTTTTAGTCTTTTATAAAGATAGACACGTGGGATAAAATAGTGACAATATTTCTTTTTATGTTTTATTGTAAATATTAAGTATATTTCATGGAAATAATAATAATAAATTTTTCATGCACTACTATCTGTATCACTAAAATAATATTATCAATGTGAGACCCTTAAGAAACACCTTATCAAAGGTAATTTAAATTTATTTAGCTCTACTATATATCCAATGATAATTATAAGAATTTTAAGAACAAAAATTGCAATGTACAAAACTCAATAGACCATAATTACCTATTAATAATTATTGGATGGCCTATGGGTATTATAAAATATAATAATAGCCAGCTATTGCAAAAGTGTATCACATGTACTATCAGTCATACGCATAACAAAAACCCATTAACCCCCTGTTTGTATGGCGCATCTATATCCAGAATAAATAATAACCGAAATATCAATATTTTCAGTAATTACACGCCTCGCATACTTTCCTTCCAATCTGCCTCAATATCGTTAAATATCTAGTTTACAATTCATCCCCAATCCTGGAACTTTTTTCAGTAATTTTTTAAAGCTATATTTTTCCGTGCATTAAATAACCAATCGTCGAATAATCGGCCCCATAGAAGTCAAAAGCAGTTCCGCCCGAATCCCCACCTCTTTCGTACACGTATATGAAAAGATTGAGAAGGGTGGTAATTCGGAGGCGAAGAACAAGAAGAGAAAGAGGAAGAAGAAGACGAAGAAGAAGAAGACGAAGAAGAAGAAGAAGAAGAAGAACAAGAAGAAGAAGAAGAAGAAGAAGATGATGATGATGATGATGATGATTATGATGATGATGATGATTATGATGATTATGATTATGATTATGATTATGATTATGATGATGATGATGATGATGATGATGATGATGATGATGATGATGATGATGATGATGATGATGATGATGATGATGATGATGATGATGATGATGATGATGATTATGATGATGATGATGATTATGATGATTATGATTATGATTATGATTATGATTATGATGATGATGATGATGATGATGATTATGATGATGATGATGATGATTCAGGTCGGCGTTAAAACGAAGAATACTTACTAGCAGGCAGTTTGAGTGCTTTCTTCGCGCGCTTCAAGATCCCGAGTAAAAAGTTATGGCAGTGCTCTCGCTGCTCCCACTGCCACGAGACATCCATCCCTTAGCTTAACTATCGAGTCCGCCTTCAGAATTCACTGTAATATCATCATTAAATGATTAAAGAAAGTCTTGATTAATAAAATTTGGATTTATAGCATCGGACGTTGCTATTTTGTTGTTATTGATATTCGCGGTACGGAGATAATGTTTTTTTAAAGAATGCGATTTGACGAACGAGAGGTCGTTAGGCATGACAGAGAGGTATTTTGTATTATAAAAATATAAAAGTAAAAAATGTTTTCAATAAAATAAACGAAGGATTCTCGTATATACGTAATGTGGATGATAACTCGGGAAATTGTTTAAGAATTATTTATCTGCAATTAACTTATTTTAAGTTAAAATTTTATTTAAGCCACGTGCTCTCCATTACTCGAGGGAGATTATTTCACTTAGTTTTACAATTAAGATACATTAATTATTTAAGTCATTTTACGAATAAATTTTCATAGGTTGGTAATAATATTGTTTTTCCATTTTTAGGCATTGAAATATTTTAATCGGTGAAATACTGGAATAATAAATAATATCTGGTGCACAGTTACAATTGACAGAGTTAATAAATTTTGTATATGAAAAGTAGCTCTGAAATTATGATACCATTGTCTGTACGTGTATTGAAAGGATACCATAATAAATTGAAATACCCATAACACACACACGCGCGCGCGCGTATATGTAATAGGTAAAAATGAGAAGCTTTTTACGTCTAATTGACAGTTCTGTGAAGAAGTAATAAGACTGAGTATCCGTCGTCTCGAATTCGTCGAAATCGAACGGTAATACCCAAGTGCGCACTAGCGGCAGTGCCAAGCAACATAAATCATCCTCTCGCTTGGCATAGCAAGGAACTAAAAACACTAAAAGCGTCGCCAATACTTTCTGATGGCCGGGCGCGCGACTATAAATCAAATACCGTTCAACGAGCAGAAAGAACAAGAGGAAGCATAGGAGGAAAAAATACAAACAGACAGATTGAGAGTATCGGAGGAGAGGGAAAACGAGGAGAGGAGACGGGAAATTTGTGGTGATGGTGGTGTTAGTGGTGGATGAAAGGTGACCGCGCGCCCGTGTGTATATCGATATGGCAAAAAGGTGAATAAAAATAGGGTTTACTGGCAATGTATATATGTAACGCAAGAGTGTGCACGCATAGAGATAACGCGGCAACTCGCTGCATCTTTTCGATCTGCGCACTCCGGGTAAAAACGATCAGCTGACGCTACAGCAGAAGCAGCCCTGTTTGCGCAAAATTCCATCTCCTTTTTTCAATTCCTGCCCTCTCATTTTGCAATCGAGATAGCGCGCGCTTCCATAAATTCTGGTATTAGCTGCGTCATCTTTTATTCATCGACCTGGACTTTTTATTTTGCCACTTAGGAGAGCGGGGGCGGCGCGATTATCGCTAGCGTATGCATTCGAGTCCGCGATAGCCTGGGCGTGCAGTATGCTGAAACTGATACCAATTGGAAGCCTGACCAACGGGTCGACCTTAATCAAGAGGTTATTACCGAAAATAGTTACTCCCGTCACATACCTACATCTATTACTGTCTGAACATTTATCGACTACGTGGATGCATTTTTAGCAGCTTTAATTATTCTCACTGCCACCGTTCAGTCACCGACGTTACTTTTATTTGCCCCAAAGTAGATACTCGAAATCGAAAATTTTATATAATAAAAGAAAAATTGTAAATTCAGCTGAAACAGAAAATTCCGATAGTATACCTACCTATAGCATTTTAATATTTTTTCATATTATTCAACACACTAGCTTGGCAATGCCTTAAATTCGTTAAAAAAAAATAACAAAGAAATTATAATTTACTATTATACGATTGTATTTAATGTAATTTATAATTTTAACGATATTAATATTCTTACTCGTTTCATGTAAGAGAATAAACGGCGATATTATTGAACTTTTTATAGTAAATTGGTTTTAAGCATTAACTTGACTGCTAAAATTCCTACAGGCAAATGCTAATCCCAAAAATACATCATGAAATGAAATTTTTTCTAAATAAGATTTATCATTTACATCAATGGAAAGAAGCAATCGTTCGATTAAATATTATCTATTAAAATTGTCACATAAATCATTTAAATCGAACTTTTTAACTATCGTAATGATAAACTACGTAATATTTAAGCTGCGTTATTTTTTCGCATATTACAATGTTTTTTAATAATTTTTTTTCTTTCAGTTATGGGTAATTAAAAAATGTAATTGCCTATCTTAGTATAAAAATAATTATTATCTTACATTTTTAAATTAATGAGTACAAGCGTCAGATAAATTAGATTTCGAAATTTTTACAGTCTTTTAGCTTGAAAAAATTATTGTTTTGTTCCTTTTTTTTTATTTTTTTTTATATAAAGGCAATTCTTTATACAATTTCGTTATTGAGAATTAAGCTATTTAGAAAATTATACACGCTCTCATTAGTGCAGAGAACCAATTACAGTTCTCGACATTTATTAATTTACACATAGCACTTAGATAGAATAGAATGGCAGTATTGCAGTATTAGTATTTGTTTGTTCGAGCATGAAAATACAAATACGAATCATACGTAAAAAAACAATTAGTTTTTTCAACTTAAATTTGTGCTCGTTAAATATCTTCTTAACTTTCAACTCCTTTTATATTCATTCTCTTATTCTCCTCAAAATTATTGCATACTTTTCATTAATTTTACGAGGCAAGCGTATCTTTCGCTTTTTAGTCGTATGGTATGTCATTTATTATTTTTTTACGATCTCTTTAGTCCTTTTACGTACTAGTTGCATCTATTTTATGCGATCAATGCTCAATTTATTTAACAGTCATTAATTATCAATTATTAATTATCAATTCCAATTATAAATTACTACATACTTTTATTGTTGTGATAAATTTATGTATTCTGCTCCTCTTCTTTTTACGCATTGCAGAAGCTTCGATTAAAATAAGTATCATTAATTAAAAAATTAATTTAAAATAAATTGTACCGTAGTAATTTAATGCTGTAATGCTATTTATTATGATTTATATTATTTTTTTTTATGTAATGGATGATATTTCATATGTGTATGATATACGAATAATATTATTATTTAACTATATAAATAATATCATTGTTAAACTAAAAAGAGCGATGACAATGTGATGAAGTATTATTTGAATATATGTTACTAAATTTCCATAAATTTCGTTTTATTTATCCAAAAATTTGATTACTAATCCCAAAAAATATAGTGTATTTAAAAGTTGTATTTATCAGTGTATTTTAAAAAGGATATATATTTTACTTTTTACGGAAAATATAATTTTACCGAAAATTTAGTATTGAATAATTGAATGAACAATTTGAAGTGCTATAATGTTATTCTTTA